TTTTACTCCAGGGTTGTAGAGAAGGGAGAGGGAGCAGCCCTGTGAGAACATGACAGTCTGGGGAAGGCCTGAGATGCACTGGAGCCTGCATTCCAGGCCTGTGGGACAGGTATAGCCAGGAAGGTAGGTGATCTGTGTGGGCAGAGTGCCACAGTTCCAGCTTTACCTCCATACCAGAGCAGGGATATGTGCTTGTGAATGCTGGGCCACAGTGTTTACAGCGTCAGCTGCTGACAGGTTAGGGTCTAGAATCCACCAGCTGCTCCTCAACTCCCTCACAAGGTGGCTGCTTGGGACCACCCCATGGACAGGGTTGCTGTGAGTTGGGACCAGCTACCATCTGTGGACCTGGGTTTCTTGTTCTAACCGAAGGAGCCCTCATGGGACCTTCAGCTGTTCTGAACTGCTAGCCCAGATGTCGGCAGTTCAGACTCACCAGCACCTGCAGAAGGAGAGAGCTGAGGGTGTCTCTGTCCTTTGAGTCTGTGACAGCCTCACAGGGTTCCACGAGTCAGAGTCAGCTTCACGGTCTGGGTAGGCATTCATGGTAGGTGTTCCTGTGCCAGGTGTGGGAACTGTGTGCTGTGGGGCCGTTGACAACACCTGACAGCTCTGTTCCCACAGAATCACCCTGACGCCTCTCCTGGGTGAGCATCCGCCTGCGTTTCCACTTTCCCATGGCTTGTAGCCGCTGCCCATTCAACTATTCCTCTGAACAAGTTTCTTGCATGGACCCTCTTAACTGGCTTGGGACCCCTGTGTGGCTGGTCTTCAGGGTGGGTCAGGTGGTCTCTGCTGAGTAAGCACTTCTACCATCTCCACAGGGTCGGGGAGACACCCTCCCCAGAGACAACGCAGTGCAGATCACTGGGCACGCACAAGGACAGCCAGGAGCTGGAAGACGCCAAGGCCATGGCTGCATTGGGGCCAGACTGCCTTGTGCTCCCGAGCTCTGTTCACGGGCCTGCATCCCACACTGGCAAGCTCACCTTCATTTACGGGACGTCGGGAAAGCCCCGGACAGCCACAGCCGGCTGGTCACCCACGAGACAGTGCACAAGGGCACCAAGTCCTTGCTGTGTCCACAATACAGCTGGGCCTGCCGCTGGGTGTCCAACCTCCTGTGTCACCAGCAGAACCACACAGGTGAGAAGCCCTTTGGCTGTGAGCAGTGCAGTCGGACCTTCAGCCTCAGGGACCACTGTTCATCTGTGCCAAGGCCTTCAAGCAGTGCTCCAGTCTGCTGCGCCGCCAGCTAACGCACAGCGGGGCGTGGCCCTTTGGCTGCGGGGACTCTGGCAAGGCCTTCAGCACCAAGGGGAACCCGAGGCACCATGGCCGTTTGCACAGTGGCGAGAAGCCCTATGGGTGCGCACCGTGTGGCAGGCTTAAGCACCCACCAGCAGCTGCACGCCGCCCCATGTGGCTACACCTGCGGCCTCTGCAGGACGGGCTTCCGCTACTTGGGCTTTTTCATGCGCCACCAGAGGCATGGGCACAGGGATGTGTGGTGGTGTTATGTTTCATCGAGTCGTTTGCGACTCATAGCGACCCTGTGTACAAGAGCTCTAAATGCTTTTCTATCCTGTGCCAACCTAGCCATCTCAAATGCACTTATTCCCACCTCTCCACTCACAGAATCAATCCATCTTCTCGAGGGTCTTCCTCTCCTGCGCCGTCCCTCAACTCTGCCAAACATGATGTCCCTCTCCAAGGACAAGTCCCTCCTTGCAACATGCCCAGAGTATATCAGACAAAGCTTCAGAATGCTTGACTCCAGGGAACATTGTGGCTTCACCCTCTCCAGGAAACCTGTTTGTTTTCCTAGCAGTCCATGGTATATTCAACACTCTTCTCCAGCACCACAGCTCAAAGGCATCAATTCTCTTTCTATCAGCCCTATTCACAGGGATGTGTAGACACGGGAATTACTGCGAGGATCGGAGGAATGGGAAGTGCACAGGGGAGCAGCCTCCCCAATGCCAGCCCCAGTGCCAGCCACGTGATGCCACTGGGCAAGTGACCTCAGACCACTAGTGTGGACGAGCATAGAGACCAGGGACAGGCAGACAACCCGCACCTGCCACCCAACATTTGTGAGATCAGCCCCAAGTGAGAAAAACCGAACCCAGGGTCCAGACCTAGAAGGGACATTAAAGGGCTGTGGGTCAAAGGGTGAGTCTGGAGGGAGGGTAGGAAGGACTAGATGAGGCCCACCAGTCTCTGTGGCACTCACTGCCCCCACCAGTGCCTCTATGCACCTGTCCCCCACTTGCTGCCTCTGCTCCTCATTCCCCCAGCAGGTTCCTGTAAGGAATCCCCAGCTGTGTCCAGCCTGCCCCTGCTGAGGTGACCATAAGCTGCCCGGACTTGGCTCCTCTCAGGAGGGAGGGGCATGTCAACAGGGGCTCCTCCTGGACATGGGTGGAGCTGCAGGTCAGTTTGAAGGTGACATTGGTGACTGGAGCACAGGCCACAGGAGTGAGAAGGCCTGAAATGGGTTGAGGAAGGGGGTGCCATTCTGAAGGGGGTCCCATCCCTTCACTAGGCGGACCCAAGGGCAGTAGGAGGAGGCTGGCCCTGCCCCCACTTGACAGCTCTCCAGGCTGAGCAGAAAAGAGCCTGGAAGTGTCTAGAAGGAATCTTGAATCATCAACCATCCAAACAGCTTTTTAGAAGTAAACTTACTGAAGTGCAATAGACATGAGATGTCCCCAGGGACCACTGTCTGATGCACGACTTTAACGGCAGGTGACCAGTGTGAACTGCAGGACGTGTCCATGTAGGCTTCTGCACAATTTCTCAGGCCGAGCCAGCTCCAAGACCCATGAAAGCTAGCTTATGAAAATGAGCTGGTCAGAGGTGCCCAGCTGGGAAGGGCAGGGGACAAAGATGTTCTATAGCTGCAGATGGCGCCTGTTTGCAATACCAGGTGCGCATTGTGAACCTGAGTATGGTGCTGAGTTTACCACCCAAGAGAGGCAGGGAAGGGCTGCATTCTGAGGCCTGGATGGCACTGACAGTGCAACAACGTAGCACCGCTAGACCTGTGTCTAAGGTGCTTAACTGGCCTGTGTGCAAAGGCCTGTCTGTCTTCAGAGCCCATTCATGTGCTAGAGGACCCTGGCCGTGAGCTGAAGAGTCCCAGCGCAGCCATGTGTTGCGATGTTTCCTCATTTTGTATACAATGGGGCCAGAGTTTAGTTTGGTTTCAAGACTTTCTTAGCAAAACCAAAAACCAACCCCACACAAAACAGACTTCCAGGCAACTCTGAGCCAGTGAGCCCGAGGGACAGAGATGATTGGGGGGGGGGTCCTAAGGTCGGACTCTTGACACACTGCTGTTAACATCTTTCTCCAGAGATGCTCAAGGGTTTCAATTCCCCACTTTTTGGCAACAGTGCTAGGCAGCATTCAGGGGTTCAGCATATGAGGCTGATCTGTCCCAGAAGAATTCTTCACTAATCTTACTCTAGAGACAATTCCATTCTTTCTTTTGTGTCTCCAAACTAGAATTCTGTACACCCTTAACCCTGGCCAGGGAGCTCTCATGGCCTAGTGGGTAAGGCGTTGTGTTGCCAACCCAAAAGGCAGGTGGTTTGAATCCATCATCTGCTCCACAGGAGAAAGCTGGCCAATCCCCTGATTTACTGCAGCTGAGGACCTACTGAAGGCTCAGTGATGAGGTAGTGGTAACTGGAAGGCAATTTTGTATCCCGGCCACCCACATGTCCACAGCTAGAGTTCATACAGGAAAAGGCAGAATGAATGTCATTCATTTACCACCCTTGGAAGAAGGTGTGCTCACACACCCAGTGGCCAGTGAGGCTTTCAAACGCCTGGGTGTTACATACAGGGCCGTTTCCACTCAGCAGTCTCCATCCTGTCTCTTCAGACTGATGCTTCTGTGAGCCGGTCTGTTCAACCCTGCCACCCTGCCCTTGTGGCAGCGTGTTGGTTTCAGGACCAACCTTATCTCAAAGGATCCCTGGGATTCATGTGTTGACTGTCTACCTGTGCAGTTCCATGACGTTGGTGACCATTCTTGATGTCCTCTCCCAAACCATTCTGCTCCCAGTAACATGGGCTCCAGACGCAAACCCTCCCCCAGGAGTGTCTTGCTATGGAAACAGTGATGGGAGATCCAGGTTGGCCATGAAGTCTTCCAAGCAGGTTGTTCACTCTGGTGGCACCTCCACAGACCCCTCTCCAGAGTGAGTGGAGGGCAGGGACCTGGGTTATGTGCCTGCTTTGCCACTGCACACCCATGGGTCTCTCTGGACTTCATGCTCCACCCACTGTGACCTGAGTTGCTGGACTCAAGACTATTTCACTGTCCCACAGGCCCAGGCAGACATTTTCTCTCGTGGGCAGCTCTCTGAAGTGTCCCACCAGGTCTGAACCCCAGCATGCCATGAGTCTCTGCCCAGTCCTGGAGCAAAGCTCGTGTGGGCGTGCCCCAGCCACGCCCTTGATGGCACTGGTCTGGTGCTGCACTCCGCCCACGTCTTTAGGAACTTGCATATGTCCCAGGCTACAGTGACTCCAGCGGTCCAATAGAGCCTTTGACAGAAACCTCATTTCAGGGTTAATCCTTAAGGACAGGTACACGTGCAGAGAGAACGGCAACGTGCAGTGTGGGACTCCGGGGAAGTCCTGCCCTGCAGGCAGGCAGTGGGCACAGCAAGTCCTTGCTCTTGGCTGTACACTCTGGCGTGGTTAGGAGTGCTCAGGTGAGACGCAATGCACAGGTCCACAGTTTAAGTGCTCGTGGACTTGCACTGGGGCACTTGTGCCAGGGGCAGCGGTCAGTAGTTGTATGCCCCGATGCTGAGTCCCAAAGAACAGAGGTCAAAGAACCATCAGGAGCCTGGAAGCTGTTTGTCGGAGGGCAGCCCTCCAGCAGGACGTCAGAGCAGGAAACCGGACGCTGAGCAGACAGCGAAAGCAGGCCTTTATTAAGCACACCCTGAGCGGACGGGAGCCTCGCCCCCTCCGACTCAGCTGTGCTCCGAGGGGGCTTCCGAAGTACGGTTGGCGGCGATCTCCTTGGACACCACGGAACGTGAAGCTGCAGACAAAGCCCCGGAAGAGCCCGAAGGAAACCTGAGGCGGGACTCGTCCGAGGAGCTGGTGTTCTGCGAGGCGGCGCCAGACAAGGGCCTGGACGATGTCTGCAAGCTCTGATGCGACGGCCTCTGGGACAGAGTCCGCGAATCCACTCGCGATGGCGCCTGGGAAGGGGCCTGTGAGTCCCCTCGTGACAGCACCTGGGACGGAGGCCGCGAGGCCGAGATGGACCAGGCTGGGAGAGGGTTCCGTGAGCCAGAGCGCGACTGGATTCCTAAGACTGAGTGCCAGGACCGGACCCCCCCGCTCGCCTGAGTCGGAGCGCCCATCGACGGGGCCTGGGAGCCTGCGCGGGGCTTCCTTGCGGAGGCTGTAAAGGACCCAGGCCGCCCGCTGGACCGAGAGGTGCTGGGCCGAGGCTGCCACAGTGGCGGACCCCCAGGGCCTCTGCGCAACCAGCCATGCACGCGCACCAGGTCCCGCGTGTTCTCGTGCTCGCGCCGCAGCTGGTCACGCTGCTCGAGCAGCTGGCGCCGCAGGGTGTGCAGCAGCTGCGCACTGCGGAGCAGACGCAGCAGCTCCTGCCGGAGGCGCCAGTTGTCCCCCTTGATGGCCTGCGTGTGCGCGATGAGGGCGCGCGCCGCCTCGCGCTCCGCCCGCCGCGCCAGGGACTGCACGCGCTGGCGCGCCTCGCGCTCCAAGGCCGCCTTGTCGTCCAGGAAGCGCTGCTTGACGCGGTGCAGCACCTGCGTGTGCTCCACGCGCATGTGCAAGAGCTCCCGGTCTAGAGCGCGGATCCGCGCCAGCTGCTCCAGCTGCAGCTCCTGGGGCAGGCGGGCGGGTCAGCGCCGGCCGCGCCGCTCCGGAGCCCGGCTGCCCGCGAACGCGCGCACTGACCTTATAGGGCTGCAGCTCCTGCACTTGATGCTCCATCTGCGCCGCGCGCGCCTCCATCTCTAGCAGCTGCGCGTGCACGCCCTCCTGGCGGCCCTGGTAGAGCGAGGCCAGCTCGGCGCGCTGGCCGTGGATCTGCTCCAGGTCCTGGCGGTTCTTCTCCTCCAGGCGCACCACGGCCGTGGCGGAGCGCTGGGCGCGCGCGCTCACGTAGCTGGCGTACAGGCGGTTCTCCTCGCGCAGGCGCTGCGCCTCGCAGTCCAGGAAGGTGTTCTCCTGCTGCACGCGATCCGCGCGCTCCTCGCAGGCCCTTAGCTGCTGGTCGAGCAGCGCGAGCTCGCGTTGCAGGTAGGCCGCGCGATCCGACGGCTGCTGTCCGCCCCCGGCCGCCGTGCCGGGCCGCTGCCCATCGCTCTGCCCGCGCTGCTTCTTGGGCGCCATGGCGTGGGTCTGGGGCACAGAAACTCGTGAGAATACTGTTCCTTCCCCGTCCCCAGCTCTGTTCCTCCCGTCCCCAGCCGGGAGAGTCTCGGTCCCGGGACCGCGAGGGCGGGGGGTTTGACACCGAGGCGCCCACCTTGGTGCATTAGCTTCTAGACCCTTGGCTGTCGTCAGGACACGCCCACCATGAGTGTTGACAGCCAGCAGGCAGTCGCTATGGAGATAGAATTTGGCCGTTCCGCACCCTGTTCTTCCACCCCGTATCCTGACCTTTCCCATCCCCCATGGGTGCGCGACAGCCTGCGGGAGCGGGGCGAGGGAAATTACTGTCCAGAGGAGAAAGCTGGACCCACAATGCGGCCCGGCCTTGCGCCCCAAGGTACGGCCAGGGACCTTGCCCCTTGCCGCCCTGAGTTTCCCGGAATTCTGAGCCTAACTTCACGGTTTTCTTCAACCCTGCCGCCATTTGGAGCAGTGCAGCATGGCTATTTGTAAATCTCTCCCCATCTTGAAATTATTTCTTCAAATAAACTATTTGTATTTCGGAATGTTTTCGTTTCAGGCAGAGCTTTGTGGGTGCTACTTGGGAACTAAAAACAATGTTGTTACCGTTTAGGCCTTTCAGAGCCTGTGTAAGAGTTTCTGTAGCGTTTCTATGCATATACAAGTCCACTATACAAGGACGCTCAGGGTTCTAATTCTCTTGACAGACAGTTGGGAATGGACGCTGTTTGTGACGCTGGCTCTGCCTTTTCTCTGAGAAGATCTTGTGTTCTATGCAGGTTTTCCAGACCCCCAAGCCCCTTCTGGGACACGTGTTGGAGTTAGTCGTTCGGGAGTGTTGAGAACACTCAGAAATGACAGTTGACTCTGAATCCAGCCAGTGCGTCCTCAGCTGCCCTACCTTCTCCGCCAGCCACGAGGTCTCAGCTGGGGGTTTCTGCCTGGCTGCTGTTCCTCGTTCTGTAGAATCATAAACCTCTACTGATTTCATTTTGACCAGAAAATACGAATGAAGGCGCCACCTGGCCGAGTGGGCTGGAGGTTGTCCAGGTGCTAATGGGAGTCTTGTGGGTCCTGCGTAAGGTGGACATGCCCCACAGAGTGTGCGGACCCTTCTTATGAGGACCTGGCTGTGGGCATTTTCCTCCTTAGGAGACTGTTTTATAAGTAGAGATAAAATTATAATCTCCATTAAAGAAAACGTCAATTCATATATTTCTAAGGCTGTGGGTAAATGTTGGCCATTAAAGAATACTTTTTTTTTAAAATAAAATAAAACAATACTAGGGAGTGCAGCCTCCAATATGGATTGAGGCTCAATGTCAAGAAGACAAAGATTCTCACCACGGACCAATTGGCAGCATCAGGATGGATGGTGAAGAGATTGAGATTGTTCACAGCTTTAGCATGCTTGGCTCCACAGTCAACAATCTTGGCACCAGTAACCAGGAAATTAAAAGACACATTGCCATGGGAAAGTGTGCTGTTAGGGACCTCTCCAAAGTACTGAAGAGCAATAGTGTCTCTCTGGAGACTAAGGTGCGTCTGATACAGGCCATGGTCTTTGCTATCACTTGTTATGCATCAGAGAGTTGGACAGTGACTAAGGAGGATAGAAGGAGAATTGATGCCTTTGAGCTGTGGTGCTGGAGAAGAGTATTGAGGGTACCATGGACTGCTAGGAAAACAAACAGATTCATCCTGGAGAGGGTTAAACCAGGTGGCTCCTGGAGGCAAGAATTTTGAGGCTCCGTCTAACATACTTTGGGCATGTTGTGAGGAGAGACCGGTCCTTGGAGAGGGACATCATGCTTGGTAGGGTGGAGGGACAGCGCAGGAGAGGAAGGCCCTCTATGAGGTGGATTGATTCAGTGACTGGGGTAAATGGGGTGGGTGTGTTGGAGACGGTGTGATTGGCACAGGACAGAGCAGAGTTTAGGGCTGTTGTACATGGGGTCGCGATGAGTTGCAAGTGACTTGACGGCAGACAACAACAGTTGTTCCCCCATGTATGTTGTCCCTAATTTCCTGTAGAAGGTGGGGAGGAGACTGGGGCAGTGGGCTCCCTTGAGCCCACAGCTGATTTTCAGCAAAGCTTCAAGCGATCTTACTGTGGTTAGTGAAGAACACTGGAATTGACACACGTTTCCATGTGGGCAACTGAATGTTAAACCACTCATCATCTAGTTGGAGCTGACGCCTAGCTGACCTTCCAGTGGGTGTTCAGAGGCTGTAAATTGCATGGGAAGAGACTGCCCATCTCTCCTGGTAGAGCCTCTGTTGGAGTTAGCAGCCAGCCCCCTAGAACTAGCCCACCAGAACTCCAGCCAGGACGGTACAGATGACAGCTTGATGGTCCGTTGGAAGTGTCATCTCCCTCCTGGAAAACCAGGGCTTAGCAAGCAGCTGATCCCTGGTCAGTGGAGTGAAGGACAGCACTGACTGGTCACCTTACAGGCCCGGCAACAATCCAGTGGCCATTGGCAGGTTCTGGAAAGGATTCCCGACCCCTCTCACGTTGCCCATCGCAGACCCTTGAACTCCGTTCACTCACTTCCCATTCTGGTTAGCACTGCGGATGACCGGACCTTTTTAATAAATTTGAGTCTTCCGTTCAGACTTGTGGTTGGCACCCAAGTGTTGGGTTCTGACGCTTTATCAGCCGTACCCCTGGCTTGGCATGCATGCCCCAGCCGTCCTGCACCCACCTTTGCTTGTCCTCTGCACCACAACCGAGACAGCATGTCCACTATCCACCTGGCCACCTCAGACCTTGCCTGAGGTCACTGTCTCCATTTTACAGATTGGGAAGCTGAGTCTGTGAAGGTGGGTTCCTGCTGCCCACGGCCCAGTCTGGGATGCCCCCAGGTGTCTCTGGCCGCCCTGGCCCACCCCAGCTCCCGGGCACTTCTCTTTCCAAAGCTGTCTAAGTGAAGGGACTCGGGCAGAGCTTTTTAATGTCCTAATCCCCACCTCCGCGGTTCCTAGTTCTTGTCCTTAAAGCTCGTAAAGCTTACCTCCCAGATGCCACCTCCTCGGCCTCCAGCGTCGGCCACGCTGGCGGAAGTCTGTCCCCAGGGGACAGTGAGGGTAGACCCCAGAGCTCAGACCAGGCCCGCCAGAGGTCACTTGCCTCTTCTGGTGTTCCCTTACATCCCGTCAACAGCCCGCACCACTGAGCTGAACCCCAATACACAGACCCCAAGCAGCATCCTGATGGCGTAGGCCACGCCCAGTCTCCATCCTACGCCCTCAGCACCGCAGCTGCTGCATAGGCCACTGTCCATAGGCCCTTTCTCCATGTCTCCACCCTGTTCCTGAGAATACCCACAACCCCTCCGCCTAGGCCACACCCCCACCTGTCTCCTAGGCCTGTTATGTTCACTGAGTGCAGCCTGGCACGGAGGCCACGCCCCGTGCAGGCCAGTCCCCAGGAGCTCCTGGCCCTGAGGCCCTCTGCCCTCCCGTGGGGTAGATCCATGCCCTCGTCCCTCAAGCCCATCCTTCTCTCTCCTGAACCTTCCAGGACTGGAGTGGAGGGCGTCTGTCATGAGATTCGGGGAGGTCAGGTCAAATCAGTGTCCACTTCTTGTTGGTGGTGGCTGAACCTTGGCCTCCAATCAGTGACAGGGAACCCGAGTGAACCACGCGCCTCTGTGGATCACACTTGGATGCGTGGTATTTCTGAAATAGCACCGTCTCCGGAGACAGGAGGGTGCATGACCTGAAGGCCAGGCGAGCGGTCTCACGGGGCACCCCTTCGGGGTGGGGTCCTGACAGCTGGGGGTGTCTGCCACTGTTCATGTACACAGCAGTCACAGCCAGCAGCTGTGGCACCTCGCCCGCGTTAGGGATTTCCCCTCCATCTTGGAAACCGCCTAGAGGCCTAAGCAAGACCACACCTCCCGCAGACACCCACCCAGAGGGCCTGGGTGACTCACCTTTTGGTTGGGACACTGAGCCGGGAAGAGAGGAAGGAAGAGGACAATGAGGGGTTTGCTCAGCGTCCACTGAGGGCTTGCCCCAGCCACCCTCTCTGCAAACTCTGCTCTGGGTCTGGCTTCAAGGAAGTTCAGGCAGCTTGACGTTCATGCCCCCTCCACTCCCAGGAGTCCCTGCCCTGCTGCCCTCTGAGAGTGCCCTCACTGACGGGAGTGGCCAGTGGGGTGGGGCTGGTGGCAGAGCAGATGGGAATTGGGGGCACAGAGAGTGGCTGGTGCAGCTTTCTCATGTCACTGGGCTGTGACTCAGTCCTTAGCCCAACTGCCCCACACCCTCATCCAGGCTCTGACTGCGTTTGGGTCACAGGCTCTCTGTCACCACTGAATGCCCCTCCCAGGAACGTGGGCCCATCCATGGCTGGTGGCCCAGCACCCACTGAATCACCCACCAGAGTGTCAGGGTCAGCTTCAGGGGATGCCAGCAGCCTAGTCCCTGGAATTCTGCCCGGCGGTCAGACTCCCTGCAGGAATGCCCTAGCCCATCTCAAGTTCCTTACCCTTCAGTCAGGAAGGTGACAGTGGTGATGATTGCCATGGCAAAGGGGACTATGAGCAGGAAAGTAATGGAGGCCCAGTAGAACATGTCCACCCATGTCCTCTGGTTGGAGTCCAGTCCTGCAGCCCCAGGCCACACAGTTGCTGGGCTGGGGCTGGACCTAGATCCACAGTTGTCCCTCTTCTCCACAGACTTGTCTCCATTCCCTACCCCTCAATACCTTGGAACTTGTGCTAGACCCCATAGCCGGCTGACACAGCCCCTGGTGGGACACCGAGACCAGGTCCAACGCATGTGAGCTCCCAGAGCCAGGGCTGCCCATGCAGGAATCACGCCGCACGGACATGTCCATGCATGAATACTCACATATGTGTGTGTAGACGTGTGCAGACACACCACCACACACACAAATCCACACATACAAACACACCTTTATGCTTACACACCGTTGTATTGCACTTACCTGTCTACATGCGTATGGACCAGTGCACACACATGCA